GCTCGTGTGGAAGACAGGAGGAGGGAGGACGACAAGGCTAAAGAGAAGGAGAAGTCAAAAGGGATCAAGGGCGTGTTCAAGCGTCTCTTCAATTAATGACTTGGGATGTGCGTGTAATGATTCTACGACGATGAGTGTACGCGGACCATATGTTTCACGGGAACGGTATTAGAGTGTCATGATTTTTTTTTTTGGAGATTTCTTGGTTATTTAGGAGGCGTTCACTGAGAATGGCTGGATGATTTCTTGATGATCTTGACGATGGATTCCATTTTTTCTAATGGTTAATCGTTTCATGGTTAATGTATTTGAGAACTGAATACTAAATGTCTGATGAGCTTTCTTGAATTCACACTGGAAACGATGTAGTCAATATCTTTGAAATGTGCCTCAATAATTACTTGTTGAAAAAAACGACAAGAGTCGCGATTGAGACGGATGGCGAGATGTTCTGTGAAAACTGTCCTATCGTGAATCCGCCCGTCGGGCTTTCTGCGTGATATTTCCGTCTTGAGTCCGTTGGCGCGCAAGCGGGATGTGGGTTCACCGTTCTCGTGAGTTTCTCTCGTGACCTGGCTGGGCAAATGTCTCGGCCGAGTGAGGTCGCGATGTCCCGCCCCGATCCCCCCGGCGAGAAAATGTTCTCTGGTGTTGCATCTTACTAAAGAAGTCAATTCGGGTTACAATAGAGGTAATCGAAACTATTGAACCTTGTTCAGATGAGCCATCTTGACAGTTTTCGATTCAATGTTCAGGTGTTTCCCTCCGTCTTCACACCGCGGATGTGATTACCTAGTGCTCAGGGGTTGATAGGCTCGGGATCCGGATTGTGGGTTTCCGCCCCGCGTTCCTCAGTAGTGTCCTTGGTAAAATGTATGCCTATCTCTTCTCTCTTCAACCTCGAGTGACTCTTTTTTTCGCATGTGAAACTCTTGATATTACTGCAGTCTACTCTTCACCATGATTCCCAGCCTTATCTTCTCTGCCCTCCGCAATCTACCTTCCTACCTACGATTCTCCGTAAAGTCCCAGTCCAAAAGACCCGGACACGGAGGGCGCGCCTCCCGGATTGTGGGGCCCAGTCCCTCCCCGCCCGTACCTACCCCCGCCAGCCCGAACGGCCCGCTAGCGGCACTCTTTTCCCACCTCCCCCTTGCCTTTCCCTCCCCCTTCCCCCTTCCCCCTTCCCTTAGTTCTAGTAGTTCCTGACGATCTTTTCCTCCAAAGACCAACCACACAACAATAGCAAGAAAATAAAATCAAGAAAAAACAAGATCTGGTGACGGAGATGTTTAGTCCATTTGAAGAAGGTCGGCTGGCTAAAAGTACTTGATTCAAACTTACCTCCGTTTTGTTTCTGCACGCACCGGCCACCCCAGTCATGTGGCACGGGAGGTGCTTACCTTACCTTACCTCACCTTATGTTTCTTAACCCCCGAGGAAGGGCGGTCCGCGGGCAACATGTCCCGGGATGTGGGGTTTCCCCAGCAGAACGACGTCCATTGACCGCCGGTTCAAGCCTTCAAGGTTCTATCTCTTTACTGTGTAACCGTACTTTCCTCTCGTCTTTCTCGCTCCCATTTCTCTCTCTGGCTGGCTTCTCTTGCCTGTATTTTAGGCGGCAAGCACGCTTGGAGTTAAGCGCCCGCCACCCACTGGCTGCGTATGCTTGACGCTTCTCTGAGGCACGTAGGCGCTCGAGGGTGAGAATTGTAAGAAGACAGATAGATATAGAAAGTGTGTGTGTATGTGCGCCTGCGTGAGCTATGTCAAGGTTGTGTATGCGCGTATATGTGTGTGTGTGCCATGTTGGGCCTCACTGCCTCGATCATCGATGAAGATGCATCTCGGGGCCGCAGGAATTCCCAAGATCTCGTAAATCCCAGGCAATGAAAACCCTCAAAAGCCGATAAACACTTCTCGATGAAACTCTCACAGTTCAAACGCTGACTGGTCCCTCGTTTACGGATGATTCGGTTGTTATCGTTGGGTCTCGTGTCTCGTTCAGCTCATTTAAACTACATACGCGTCCCCCCCCCCCCCCGCCTCGGTTGCTGCCGCCAGGGCCGACAAGGTCAAAAAATGAAAAAGGCTTGTTTTCTATCCAAGGGTTCTGGATACAGGGCATTTTGATAAAGATAATCTATCTTTACCCGGCATGGATGATGAAGTAGCGCCTCAAGCCCTATTTTCAAGCGTCAAGCGATGCATGGGTTGTATGGGTTTCTGTTAGTCTTGTTTGTCGGCTATCCAGGCTGCAGCCTTGCGTTGGGGACGGGCTGTGAGAGGTACGGATAGTCACGCGGACACAGAAAACCGATAATTTAGTGCTTCTGCATGTTGCATGTGCATTACCTCTCTGTCCACCCCAGTTTGACACCGGAGAAGCATTACCTATTCAGGTCCCGTTGCCTATCTGCGGACTGCTTGGAAGTTTTTCTGCCCTCTCGAGTTTGTTCGCCTTTCAGAGTGGAGTACCCTGCGAGTATTTACGCGAGAACCATGACAGTTTGGTAGATAGGCGGACAGAACCGAGGCGTGTCAACGTGGGTTTCGATTTCCACTTTCCAAGGAGCTGGAAGTCGTCAGGTTTTCTGCCCAAGGCTCCGGACGTCGTTGTCGGAAGCCCTTGTTCGACATATCCCCATTGGACCGCTTGAAATGGTTTTCGCAGCTTGTCATCGTGTAAGGCGCAATCTTTGTCAGACTTCTTACCCTTGCCTTGTGGATTCAATATATCCGGTCAAGCTACAAGCATACCTGCAGACACTGCCGCGATGAACCGAACCAGACGTGGGCTCCCTTGTTCCTGGACTTTCTTGTTAACGCCGCTGTCTACAGTCTGTAAGCTGACGCCCCTCAAGAGTCTGCAGCGGAAATATGTAACCCCTTCTCGGCTTTCATCTGTTTTCATTTGACCGTTGTTTTGGAATCAGGCCTGTCAAATGTCATATTATGTCAGTCTGTACTTACCGGGCAGGGGACAACAATAGGCGTGGCGTACAGATACTGATATGGGCATCTACTCGGCCCGCTTAGCCTTAGATGAAGAGCCACGCCCCGAAAACGCGTTTGTCCAAATATTGTTCTGACGCCTGCGTGTCTCCGCCAGGGGAACGAACGCGAGGGGTGTAGGGAAAGGATGGTGTAAGACGACACCGCCCCAAATCTCTCAGCCTTTGGTAATCGGCCATCGCGATGTCGAATTTGAGCAGCCCTCAGCTCAAGATGCATCATATCCCCTGTCAAGAGCTCTTGCGGGCGGTCCCGCCATCCCGTCAGGCCGAGGGCGCTGTACAAGTCTATTCTTTTCGGCCTGGTCCGGATCATCCTCGGCACCCCTCTTCCCGCCCTTTTCAGCTGCCCCCCTCGAAAAGCATATCGAATATCGAGTCTTGCCCTGGACGTATGAACGCGTGTACACACCGGATAGCCAACCTTGTTTGGGAGCAGTAGCCAGCATGTTGCTATCGTGAGAAACTATCAACTGTCAGTTTCCGGTGTGAGTTCCTGCGTCTCTTGGCAGAAAAAAGGTTGTCTGCATGGCGGGAACCGCGGATGAAAATGGAGGGGTCCTCCAGAAACTCGCCTATCCAGCTTTGACAACCGACGATAGCGGGGCAAGACCGAAGTACCATCCAAGCACCAAAGCAAGAGACGAGGCTGGTGGCAAATTGAAGGTGGCAGTCGATACTTCAGATGCGCATTTTTTATTTTCGAGCCTTGGAGTTTTGGAATGCTTGTCTAATTCACCGTAGCCGCCCGATCCTTGGGTCAGCTGCTAGCGCGAGGCCTCGCTCCCTCTCTAGTCTCTATGTCGGCATATCGGAGAAGTGGCTGGATCCGTTCTTCGTAATATTCAATGCGATTTGTTATAGCGTCGTCGTATTGCATTCCCTGCCGCTCATTTCGATGAATAGCAGAAAAGTCGGACGGAGAGGCCATTAGCTTGGCCAGCTCGTGCTATCACGGGCTCCTCGCAACTCTCGTAAACCGCAGTTGTCTAACACCCATGCCGCTTACGAAGGGCAAAAAAGTGAAAAAGCTGTCGATTTTCAATTCGTATTTGACCCCTGCGGCTCGTGCGGATGCTCCCGTAAAGTCAAAATTAGAGAAAAAAGCATAGAGCAAGCGGGGTGCAGTTGTGCCAAGACCATGGAGCACGGGGCGGGATATCTCGGTGAACGATCATGGCCCGAGGCCGAGAATCCGCCAAGTCGATGGTTATGGCCGGAACACACGGACCAAGACTTGTTGGTGGCCGAAGGCCGTGATGAGAGCACACGGAAATTTTGTTTGTGGACCTGACTATCCTGTGATAGTGACTGCTTCGCATTAGGATATTGTGATGGAGAAACCCAAGAGGTTGCTTAGATGGTCTGCTGCAGGTGTACGGGTTGCGGGCGTGTCAGGAGTCAAGAGCATAGTATTCGATCCAGGGGAAACGGCGGTGAAAGCAAGTGATCGTATGTATTGCGTCTGGGCCGTATTCGCCGAGTCCTACCACAAAGACAGCGCTTCTTCGAGGTAGTAGACGCTGGGACGTGATTCGGTTCGGCAGATGAAATATTGGCCCATGGACTCCCTGAGCTCTGCAGATGTCTGAATCATTCGCTCTTCTCACTTGAGCAAAGGAAGCCAGCCGTTATGTGGCCGGCATGTGACCTATACGACTAGGTTAGAGTTCCTATACCATCGTATCAGTGGATCGATTGCGAGAATGTTCGGCATGAACCTCGAAGAGGCGGCAGGCAATCCAGAGAGTCTAAGGATTAAGCATATACACTGTTGCTTTTTGGGAGCTCGCAATCCCCCCATGAACGAATTTCGGGAGCAACCGATAAAGTACACACCAACGAACGGCGATCGATGACCCGTCGAGCTGAACTCTGGAAGAAGGTTATCTCGAAGGGGGGTATAGAGGGGCAGAGGCGAAATTTGATGCGAGCGACTTCGGCAGCACCGTGATGGAGAGGTTGGAGATGCCAAGACTTTGTTGCCTATTCCGGCCATGGGAGACGAACAAAAATGGAGATCCGGCGATGGCGGCGAATCTCCGGATGACGGTACGGTGTTATCGACGAGATGATGTTACTTGATGGTGACATGTTCTCGCTATTCTGAGGTGGTTGAAGTTGGATGATGGTGGGTTCAAGGAAGATAGCAGAGTGTCGTTCCGTCGATGAGGTGAAGTTTGCTGCAAGCGGCGATGTCGTCGTTACACTGGGCAACCCGCGGATTGAAACCCGCGAGAACGGAGTACTGTGTAGGTGTAGTGAGCGGACGAGGTTTGGGCTGGGAGGAAGTTGCAGTCCGTGGTTGTGGTCGTCGTCGTCGTCGTCGTCGAAATGGCGGCTCAGGGTAGCCCCTGGCGCCGGTGAGCTAAGACATTCCGGTAGTAGTGCCATGCAATGCGGGAACCGGCATTTGTCTAGCGCTGTGCACTGTCCGCTAACGCACCCTTGCGGGGGGCCACGCTGGTGGGCTCTAAAAGAGGTAGCATCCAGAGATGAGGCTTGCGCGGCCAAGCAGGGGTGAAGGGGTGGCAGGACAGACTCAGACTTGGGAACTTGGGATCTTGGGAAGGGGAAGAAGGAGTGAAGTCTGAATGGGCGGATCATTGGGTGACAGGGGAAGTTTCGGAGGCGAGGTTCTTGCCATTGGCACTTTGCGATGTTTTCTGCCATTGTCCACAGTTCATCCTCCTCTCCTCCATCCTTCATGATACCATACATCGATACTCCTCCATCTTCAACCACCCATCATCCATCACCCATCATACCCCCCTGCTTCAGATACATGTACCCACAAACCCAACAGCAAAACATCGCCAGCCGACATTCGTGACAAGCACATGGGCCTCCCCTCGTGCTCTCGTACCCTGTCAACGCCGCCAAAACCCACTCCCTTCTTGCTCGACAGGACACAAAGACAAGGGTGTATAGCTATCGGGGGACTGCTCCATTCTTTCTTCCTCTTCTTACTTGCATAATGGATCCTGCCAACCTACACGAGGCTAGCATCTCACCTGCGTCAGGCGTCCCTCTTCTGTCTGCCTCTCTGTCTCTCTTGCGCTATCTCCATACCTATCTCTCCGTCACCAACGGCCAGCCAACCGCCCCTCTCCTGTCTTGAGTGTACCAACCCCCCCCCCCTGCTCTTTGCGTGCCTACTGACCATTGATACTCCCTTGGCCCCCCGCAGGGAGCCAGGGACTACGTACGCAATCGCAGGCCGATGGTGCTTCCCGCAAATGGCGCCAAAGCCCGCTACGGAGACTTGACGGGAGCTTCTTCTAATCAAGCATACTTTGCGCGCTTGCAAGATGATAACGAGATTGAATTCAGAGGCTAATTACCAAGAGGAAAAGAGTCGTGCTGATCCGGCACACGAGAAGCGCTCGCTCTCGGTTCTGAGTTGCCATTCCAGCCGTGGAAGCTGCTTGATGGTTGATTTCCACGTACTCCGTTGTTCGCAACAGCCCCTCCCTCGTCATCGATAATCGAGATACTGCGGGTGATCCTACATTCGGAACCAGGTCTTGGTCTTGCCGTCCCATGTTCGCACTTCGTCAACTCTTGGATCTCTCTTCTCGTCTTTCGTCCCGAATCTTGACGATGTGTTTCCCCTGATCAGCCAACGTTCGCCGCTGTCAATGGCACTTAACCCCACGATAGGGGGCTTCCAACGCAGTGAACGCCACTCAACACACGTGGGACTGGCAAAAACATGCGGCGTTACCGTTGCACTGAGTCCGAGACTTCCCAGCAAGCGCGTCTCAAAGACAGCTTTGCGCGGGGGAGCCAGACGAGCTGCAGCTAGGACGGTAGGACCTGCAAACATCAAACAATTTCCACCGCCGTTGGAGGCTTGACGTTGCTTTTTCCGAGTCAGAGGCTCAACATAGTTGCAAACGCCACCGGTCACCGAATCTCTATTGTTTTACGATTATTTCCCTTCTCCGTGTGTTCCAGCAAGGCTGCAACCTCGTTAGGGTATACAGTATACTCCATTCAGAAGTCTTTGTCTTGGCCACTGGGAAACTAGCCGTGTTGGCTTGAATCTTCTCCATATCACCCTGACCCCCCACCCCACACTTTACTTCCCTTGTCCCTTTTTGACGCGCCCATGCCATATCGAACGGTTTTCGTTTTGACGCCGTTGCATTGGATGACGTTGACCGCGGCCACAATGGGGCCCCGGCGGCTTAAAGGATGGGATATCCTTGCCAAGACGCGTCTGCTCGTCCGCCTATACGCAGCGGAGCAACGCCACAGATTCGGACGTCGAACGGTTCAACAGCAATTTTTGCGCTCTTCTGCTATATCCCGTCTTATCATACTACTGGCCCGATCAGAGCTTTCTCGCCGTCAATGTTTCCATCCAGCCTATTACGCTAACCGCCAACGGGGTTTCCCGCGTAATGCTTGGCTTTCGGCTCTATCTTATTGGGCAGCCAAGATAGGAACATCCCCCTTCTCCCCCATCTAGTTTGGGCACAATGAGGCTCCTAAAGTCTAGGTTTCTTAGTGGTGAGGATCCTTATTAGTCAAACCATGATGCCGAATTAGGCATGGTTCATCTCAAGGACATTTCTCCGGTCCTGATCGCCGTTGAACAAGACAACCCACGGACATGGAAGACGTCAATGTCATTCCATGTTTCGTTCGCTTCGTTCGGAGTAATCCATTGCAGAAGAAACAACGGCGCACGGGGTTCGGGGCCTGATGACACTCTGTATCCGTACCCGCGGGGCTAATGCAGCCACACAAGCACGGTTTCGATAGTCCTGCCTGTCTGCTGTAGCCTGTACGGGCTACAGATACGCGTCAGCCAGTTTCGAGCACTTGTTTCGATGGGGAAAGAAGACGCTGACTACAGAGAGAGTCGTAGGCGAACCTCATTCTGAATCGACTAAGCATGTGGACGGACTTGGCGATCAACGACGAATCTCCATCTTGTTCCCACCCTCACCGGTGTCTTACTTGCTTAGCCGCCTGAACTTCAGACGAGGGCATGACGGGCCAAGAATATGGAGACCTCTCTTGCCCTGCCTCCTTTGACAAAGCTGCAAATTTCAACGCACATATTCACCGGAATGGCGCCTATATGCAGGCTTACATGATCCATGTATGACATCCATATCGAACTGGGCTCAGGGGAGGGGAGGGGGGGTTCGTCAAAGTGGCCCACCGGAATAAGGGAAACAACACCCGACGATGGTTTTCGGCAGCAGAAAGCGAGAAAGTGAGCGCAGCATGGATCCTTGTGACTGACAGCAGACCCTCCTTTTCTCTCAACGTTGGTTTTCGACAAGGGTACCGATTCCTCGTATAGGCGCAATGTTCGATAGTTGCCAGCCAAGCATGGAGTTCGTCCACCGGAGTCGATGTCACGGCCGAGCGGCCGAGTAACCGACGACACTCCTCCTTCACATCTCACCAAACCTACCTGGTCGAACGAGCGATGTGCCTCCCATGTGGATGTGGGCGCGCCGTCTCTTCGAGTCAGGGGTGGTCGGCCTCTGGCACCGAACTAGGCCCTCAGAGCGCAACATCGAAGGGAACGCTGCAAGTTGGGATTGCGAATTCAGTGATTCACAATCGGGGTATCTCATTCTAGCCAAGACGGCGTCAAACTTGGCGAGAGAGACCCTCTATTCGTCCAGCCTATCTGTTCGTGATGGGCTCGAAAGCTCGTGTTCGATTTCTATAAGACGAGGCAAGTCTGCCCGTCTCTGGAGTGAAAGTTATCTTAGCCACCATCACTCGCTTCTTCAAGCCTCGGTCTTCCTTCCTTCCATCATCATCTTGCCTTCATTCGTTTTTGAGGCAGTTTCTCACACAATCACTCGTTGATTCTCAAACTTTCCAATCGTTTATTCTACATTCGTTCTGTAGTACATCGCTTCTCGCCATGTATAAACGCTCAATTTTGGGATGCTTCGCGCTCCTGTTCCCTACCTTGATCTCAGGCGCCCCTTCGTCTGCTGCTCCGAGCACACTTGAAAAGCGTCAAGACTGCGTCTTTGACTCCGCCCTCAACCCTTCTTGCTGGGATGGCACCCACGATCTCTCGACCAACTGGTACGAGGAGGCTCCCAACACGGGCGTCATCCGCGAGTACTGGTTCGAGGTCACGAACACCACCATGGCTCCTGACGGCGTTGAGCGCATGGTTCTTTCCATCAACGGAACTGTTCCTGGACCTACCATCATTGCTGACTGGGGTGACACTGTTGGTAAGTGTTCCTGATATCAAGGAGCTTAAGGTGTTTTTGAGTTTACTAACATCATCATCTCAGTCGTCCACGTCAAGAACTCTCTTCAGAACAACGGCACCAGCATTCACTTCCACGGTATCCGCCAGAACTACACCAACGAGGCTGATGGCGTTGCCTCCATCACTCAATGCCCTACTGCTCCCGGCGACTCCATCACCTACACCTGGCACGCTTCCCAGTACGGCACGTCCTGGTACCACAGCCACTTTGCTCTCCAGGCCTGGTAAGATCATTGTTCCACAAAGCTTCGCATCTCTCGACATGAACCTAACAACCTCGAACAGGAACGGTGTCTTTGGCGGAATGATTGTCCACGGTCCCGCTTCGGCCCCCTACGACGAGGATCTCGGCACAATCGTTCTGAGCGACTGGTTCCACCGCACCACCGACGAGCTTTACGAAGAAGCCGCCAGCAATGGCCCGCCCCGCGCCCAGACCGGTCTCATCAACGGCACAGGCATGTACGACGGCGCCGGCTCCCGCTTCACCACGGCCTTCGAGGCCGGCAAGTCCTACCGCATGCGCCTCGTCAACGCCGCCATCGACACCATGTGGAAGTTCATGGTTGACAACCACACCCTCGAGGTCATCTCGGCCGACTTCGTCCCCATGAACCCTTACAACACCACTGCCGTCTCCATCGGCATCGGACAGCGCTACGACGTTATCGTCCGCGCCACCGAGAGCACCGGCGACTACTGGCTCCGCGCCATCCCCCAGCTCACCTGCAGTGAGAACGAGAACACGCTCGACATCAAGGGCATCGTCCGCTACGACTCTACTTCCACCGCCGACCCCACTTCCGAGGCGCACACTTACATGGACAACTGCCTCGACGAGAGCATGTCCAACCTCGTTCCCGTTGTCGCTCTCGAAGCCGGCCAGCAGACCTACGACGACACCCTCACCGTCGGTCTCCAGACCGTCAGCAGCCAGTTCAAGTGGACTCTGAACAACAGCACCTTCCTCTCCGACTGGGACTACCCTAGTAAGCCTCCCTTTCACAAATATGCAACGGCAATATGATACTAACATTTGACAACCAGCCGTCGAACAGGTCCTCGGAGGCAACGACACCTTCTCCACCCAGCAAAACATCGTCCACCTCGACCAGGCCAACGTCTGGGTGCACTTCATCATCCAGAACCCCATCGGCCTCGCTCACCCCATCCACCTCCACGGCCACGACTTCTGGGTCCTCGCCCAGGCCACGGGCACCTACGACTCCTCCGTCGCACTGCAGACCGTCAACGCGCCCCGCCGCGACGTCGCCATGCTGCCCGGCTCCGGATACCTCGTCATCGGATTCTACACCGACAACCCAGGTGTCTGGCTGATGCACTGCCACGTGAGTCCTTTCCGCCGCCCTTCAATACACTTTCGATTTCCCATATACTGACACTATCACAGATTGGATGGCACACTTCCCTCGGCTTCGCG